AAAAGTGTACTATGAGTACAACCAATCCCATGTACTCCGTATATGTCGAGCCTAACCTCAACGAATTAGTGACGAATAATAAATAGAAGACAACAGAAATATAGAGAAAACGGATAACTCATAGGAACGGGACCCGCAGGTCTACTAACGGAGAGCCCCAAAATAACATCATCTTATAATCTCATATCACAGTACAGAAATAGAACGCCACAGCAATGACTAGTTACAGCACATCATATCCCGTTGCGGCGTGCAACCCGATCCCAATATCATATCATTATATGTTGCTACGTGCAACCCGCTCCCTTTATCAATTCATTTCGATACTGTTGCAGCGCGTAACCTGTTCCCATTATCAATTCACTATATCATAGATGACTCAACACAACCAATTCTGTAATCCAACACAAAAGGGTATTAAAGCGTATAAAACACCAAAGAAATACTAGTACAAACAGAGAACAACCAACATTTCATATTCACGAACCTCGATAAATTATTAGTGCAATAATCACCAAAGGACTCACACAATCGAATATAACATAATAAAGTGAAACAAGGTAAAGTTAATAAAGAAAAGTAAAGGCATGAAATAATGAAGATACACAATTAATACAGGTAGAATCATAAAAAAGTAAGAAGATATTAATCGAGGGAAGAATAAATCGAATAGAAAATAACTAAATGACATATTACAAATAAGGTATGAATAATAAGTAAAGACATGTAGTGTAACAATCCGACCGGTTGTTTTGAGCTTTAGCATCCCGTTCGGTAGTTTAAGGTATCCACTAGTTTCATATTATGTATTATGACTTGCGTGTATGGTCGATTTCGATTTTCGAGCGATTCTTGATTTGATTTGGAAGAATGATTCTCATTTTAGAAGTTTTAAGTTGGAATAGCTGACCAAGTTTGACTTTTTGCGTATTTGATTTTGGATCGAAGTTTTGATAGTTCCAATAGATCCAGATGGTGATTTTGGACTTAGGCGTATGCGCAGAGTTAAATTCGGAGGTTCCTTGGTTTATTTGGCACTTTTTGGCAATATTTGGCAATTGGAAGGTTTAGAATTTTTCTGAGCTTTACCATGGTTTGACTTTATGTTTATCAGGTTCGGATTTTGGTTTCAGGACTTAAAATATATTCTTTTTATTATTTAAATCTTGTCTGCAAAATCTGGTGCCGTTCCGAATTGGTTTGATAAGAATCAGACGGATGGTTGTGTTTTTAGTAATTCTTGAGTTTCATTATAATTTCCATGTGTTTCGATATTCGATTGGTGGTTTCGGATATTATCTTGGTATTTTAATTACACGGGCGAGTTCGTATGATATTTATGTACTTGTGTGGATGTTTGATGTGGAGTCTTAGGGGCTCGGGTGAGTTTCAGATGCGTTCCGGAGAGTTTTTAGTAAGGTTCAGCTTTTGCTGGTGTAGAGTTCTCGCATTTGCAAGGGGTTTGTTGCATTTACGACCACCACATTTGCGAGATCATTCTCGCTATTGTGACTCTGGGCTGCTGGGGAAGGGACCTGGCATTTCCAACGATGTCATTGCATTTGCAAGTGCTGAATGTTCGCTTTTGCGGGATGAGAGTCGCTTTTGCGATGAGCCGCTGGGGGAAGAATCTTTGCATTTGCGAAGTGTGTTGCCGAAAATGCGACATTAGCAGGGACTCTCAGGGCTCGCATTTGCGAACCTTTATTCTCTTTTGTGGAGGTCGCATTTGCGAACCCTGATCACATTGCTGGTTATATGTTGTGTATTTTAGGACTTAGCTTTATTTATCACACTTTTTAGCCATAGACTCTGTGGGAGGCGATTTTCATACAAAGTCATTGGTTAAGTGATTTTAACTCAATTTCGATTATATAACATGACTATTTATGAGATTTAACATCTAAATCATGAGATTTGAAATGAATTTTTGGAGAATTTGACTATGTTTTAGAAAAATAAAAATTTGAGATTTGAGAGTCGAATTGGACTCGGATTTGAAAATCAAACACATATTTGGACACGTGGGGAGATGGATAGTAATGATCTATTCTTCGACTCGGGTTTTGAATGGCCAAGCCCGGAATTGACTTTTGATGACTTTTGAGAAATTGTGTAAAGATCTTAACTTTATTAATTGAAATTTGTTTCTCTTGCATTGTTTGATGTTATTAAGTTGATTTTGATTAGATTTGAGCCGAGCGAAGTTGAATTTTAGAGGAAAAGCATTCTTAGAGTATTGATTGAGAGTTTTTGGGTTAGTAACTTGCCTAACCTTGTGTAGGAGAATTACCACTTAGGTTTTGGCTTATTTGCTTATTTGTGTTATGTGTAAATGACATGTACACCAGGTGACGAGTGTGTACACGGACGTATATGTGTCTCATGAACGTATTGAACTCGAGGTTGCTTTTATTGCCTTGTTTTGATTGTGAGACCTCTACTCTATATGTATTTACTTTGGGTGATTACTTGAGTTCATGTTCCATGCTAGCGATCATGTTTTAGGATTTGCATTTTCTAAATTGGACAAGTTGCGCGTTTGTGAGGTCGTCGATAAATTGAGTTAGCTGATATCATGTTTATAAGTTGAACACCCATCCCCATTTCCTTTATTGATTTGTCCTTGTGCACTATGTTGACAGATTATGAGTTTATGTCTTGATGACAATTTTTGCATGTTGTGTTGTAGTGATTATGGCACATGTGGACTTGTTGGGCGGATTGATCGGGTGTTTGCACGAAGCTTCTGTCGTGCTATTATTATTTTGATATTGCACATGCAATAAAACAAAGGTGAAATAATTATTGATGTGCATGTGGCGAGACAAGGGGCATTTACTTTAGTATTACGCACGTGGCGTGACAAGGGGGCTATGTGAGGATAACATGTGAGGTACTGGGACATTTTATTGATGAGGCTTGTGTGGTGGTATGACTTCTTGTATTTGTGTCATGCACTTCTACGTGCTTTGTTGTATTGTTTTCAATGTGCTAATCTATATCTTTGTTATTTACTTGATGATTTGGTTGCCAAGGTAAATTCACCTACGTGGAGTTGCTATCTCATATTCTATTAAGTTGTTGGTGACATAACGGAATGAAATTAAAATGAAGTTGTTATCATGTATTACTTTATTTGATTCTCGATAAATTTCTCCTGAACATGTTATTGATACTGACAGGAGTTGTGATATACATTATGGCATGAGGTCTTCGCCATGGGGTTTTGGTATATGTTGTGGCAAGAGGTCTTTGTCATGCGATTGTGATATACATTGTGGCACGAGGACTTTGTTGTGCGGTTGTGATATACATTAGATCCTCGGGATACCGAGAGATCCCCAGTGTTGATGATGAGGATACCAAGAGATCCTCGGGATACCAAGAGATCCCCTGGCTACTATTCCTTGTTGAGGGCAGTTTTCCGTGTATTGTTACCTTTACTTTCTATTACTGTTCTTCCTTATTTACCCGATTTAGATTCTCGCTGTAGACTTTATTTAAACTATTTCTGTTATCTCTTTATTTATTATGTTATCTCAGTAGGGCCCTGACCTTCCTCGTCACTACCCAACCGAGGTTAGGCTTGGCACTTACTGAGTACCGCTGTGGTGTACTCATGCCCTTCCTGCGCATGTTTTTCATGTGCAGATCCAGGTACTTCTTCCCAGATGCATCATCCTCGGGGTGGAGAGTCCTAGCTGAGACTTGAGGTATATCTGCTACGTTCGCAGACCAGGAGTCTCTACTCTATTCCGGCTTAGCAGATAGTTCCTTTTCTTTCCTTTCATGTTGTTTAGACATTCTGGTGTAGAGCAGTTTACTACATTCTATTAGCCTGTGTTTTCCCGTGAGTTTTCGGGTTTTGGGATTTAGTTGTAGACTTTCGCATATTTTGAGTTGTATAGGCCGAGTGGCCTTATATACCGTTGTTATTTCCGTATGTTCAGTTTTAATTAATTATTCCGCAAATATTAAATTGTTATTCCCACTGTTAGGCTTACCTAGTGGCCTTATGAAGGAAAAAGCAGAATCAGTCAATCACGTTCCTTTGCATTGTAGATACGTATGAAAGGTTGGTGGATGTTGCTAAACCAATATTGATGCAGTGGTGATGCTAGGGGAACAAAATCAAGCATTAGACAGCTGGAAGAGGGCCAGAAATGAGGAAGGAACAGAGGTAAACAATATTTTTAAGTATATTAGCTTGAAAGAACTCATGCTTCGAAGAAAGTAGAAAACTTTTTATAGTAAACTAAGATGTATAAAACATTTGAATCTTATAGCGAAGTGTGTTTTACAAATGACATAGAATGTGTACTCGAGTTCATTGATCCCACACGTAATTGAGGGATTTCCATACCTAGTCAGTTCCTCCTTGGTGCCTTTAATAAGGGTACTTATCAAAAA